ACACATATAAGATGTCATATCATAACCGATCACAGAACAACCATACATATCGGGTCTATTGTGTGACAGGTCCGCCGCACCGGCCAACAGTCTACCTGGTCCACCCTCCGTGTTTAGCCATATACATCGAGTCTGCAGGGTGGTTGTTCCGCCCGCACCGGGCCTTGAGTCCACCTGGTCCACTCTCTGAGTCTACAATATGACTAGTCCACCCGCACCGTGCCTTCAGTCGGCGTGGTCCACTCTCCAATCCTCGACACATCTGGTCCGCCCTCGTGGGGCGTATAGCCTATCCGGACCGCTCGCTGGGCCTTCGGAATAACCGGTCCGCCTTGGGTATGTCGGACTATAGCACAAAGCAGGTCCCGCCTCAACCCAACCCTAGTCAAACAACCATGTGCACATAAACATACAATCACATAACAATTCATATTCAATCAAACCGATCTAGCATATCACGTAACACAACATACTCTAAGCAGGATACCGACCTAACTGGTCACTAGCATAGCATCATCCTATATACCAGGATACGATCCTTAACCAGGTCTCTAACGAATACCATCCTAACTACCAGAATGCAAACATAGAAAACAACAACATAACAATAATACCCAGATTACAATCCGATAAAGGGTCGGCCTTGGTGCCTTAGACCCTGTTGATATACTGAGGATAACTCACCTCGCAACTGCTGACAGGAAAGATAGATCACGCTGCTCTAACCTCCGACACGAACTTCAACACTGATAATTCCAAAACAATGAACTCAATAAACACCAATAATTACCAAAATACCCCTGGAAGTCAACTGGTCAACTCTTGGCCAAAGTCAAAGTCAACCTTCTAGTTGACTCTACTCGCTGAGTCATCCCACTGACTCGCCAAGTCCCCCAATACTGAAAAGGACCCCCTTCCAACTCACCGAGTCATCCCTTGATCCACCGATTCTTAGCTTAACCAGGAAAGGCTAAGACCTCAAGAATAGACTCGCTGAGTCCAAGAACGGACTCGCCGAGTCCAAGGCTATCTTCAACCAACTCGCTGAGTTCCTGCCCACCTTCAAGCAACTCGCCGAGTACACCCTTGTGACTCGCCAAGTACCACTTGTTCTTAACCCATACAGAAGCTTTTCAGGCCATGCAATCGATCCAAAACATATATCTACCCTTCAACAACCCTTCTATCACGTAAAGTGGCAAACCTTACGTGAATCCAAAGATATCTAGGCATTTTACACTCTAGGATAGGGTTTGGGACAAGATGGCTTCACCAATCACTTAATAACAGGGACTTTAATGCACTCTAGACCTTCTCCATTCCAGATCTGAGGTAGCAACCTCAGATCTAACCTTCAAACTCCATATACCATAAGCCAAACTTTCCATACAACCCAAAAATAATGAATCTATATGAATAGCAGCCCAAAAACGAGATAATACCTCAAAGAGAAGCCCCCAACAACAAGGAATCCGAATCTAAGCAAAGCCCCTTGATCCAAGCCTCCTAACTCTCCATGATCTTCCTCCAACTTTCTTCTCCAAGGCTTAAACTACCCAAAACCATCAAAAACTTGTGTTTACATTTGGGAACACCTCCTAAAACCGTAGACTCCCTTACAAGGGTTTTGAAGCCCCAAAACCCTTCCAAATCCCTTCTTGTGCATAGATATGGTTTAAAGACTTGCATATACGAGATGTGAGCACCAAAATCATGTTATTTGGGTAGTAAACACGAGTTTATGGCCCAAGAACATTCTTGGACCGTAAACACATCTTCAAGGACCATAAACACCTTTTAAAGTGTTAAATTGCCCCTTAAAAACCTCCAAAGGCTGTCATGAGTGCCTAAAACCTAGTACTCCTTCATATGATGCACCAAAACATACACAAATGTGTCACACTTGAGTTTACAGTTTGGGAAGGTCTCCCAAAACCGTAAACACCTTCAATGGGGTGTTTAAGTGCCCTTAACACCTTGTATGACTTAGATTTGGGTCTAGAACCTTGTATACTTAACCAACAACCACCAAAACACATGATTCATGGACAAACATGAGTTTACGGCCGTAAGCTCATGTGTTTACGGTAGTAAACTCCCCAAGTTCCATTCAAGAATCGTAAACTCCTTTTCCAAGGTCAATTCAAGTCTCGATCACTTCCTAAGCCATGGAATCAACCCTAGAACCTTCCTTTGCGCATTGTAAGGCCTTTAAACATCCAAAAGCACACCACCCATGAGTTTACGGCTGTAAACTCATGGGGACATGGTCTTTGGACCCTAAACACCTCTAAGGGCTTACTCTTGAAGAGTAAACTCCTTATCTAGGCCCTACACATCCTTACATGCTACCCGAGTCACTCCTAACATTTGAAATAAAAGTGTTTTCGCATCTCAGAGTGCATTGTCTTACTTATTTGGTAGTTCAAAGTTTAATTAGATACAATTATGTATCTCTTCATATTACATAGGAAACTCGCGTGTATTCAAGCCCTGAACTGACACTTAGCATCCAAATGACACGTTTCTCATCTGGTGAGTTCATAGCCCTAAACTTTTTCCATGAATTCAATGTTTTCAGGCGGGATACAAGCAAAAGTACAAGAATATCTTGTACTCAAACTTACGATTTCTGATGAAATGTGTAACATCCCAAAAATACAGTCTGAAAATTTCGTTTTAAATTAGTATCAAAAGCATATTCATCAAACATCATATAAGAATCATGAAGAATGTATCTCAAAATATCTTAACAACTGTTAAGTATATCAGAGTATAAAAATCCTAGGCTGAACAAATGGTGTGTGCACTAAAATCTTCCCGAGCTCCTCTTTTGAAAACTGAGTACCTGAAACCAAAACTGAAACAGTAAGCATGAAGCTTAATGAGCTCCCCCAAACTACCACATACCATGCAATACCATATAAACACATATTGGGCCTTGCCCACTGCATCGGACCAAAGTCCGGAACTAACTGCATCGGATTGAAGTCCGGTACACACTGGGACCCCGTTCTCTGCATCAGACCGAAGTCCGGAACTAACTGGGACCTCGTCCCCTGCATTGGACCGAAGTCCGGAACTAACTGCATCGGACCAAAGTCCTGAACTAATTGGGACCTCGTCCCCTGCATCAGACCGAAGTCCGGAAACTGAGTGAACGTACCATAAACATATCAACTAGCATGAACACATACACTGCATACTGCATTGGACCAAAGTCCGGAACACATAACACAAAACATACTTGAATCACAAAGACATCAAGCACTCTAACTACTGCATCGGACCAAGGTCCGGAACTAACTGAACAACATAAGATAATCATAGCATATAATATGAACACATATGCTGCATATTGCATTGGACCATAGTCCGGAACACATAACTCATACCATACATGTATTACAAAGACACCAAGCATATTGAACTATTGCATCAGACCGTAGTCCGGAACTACTGTTAACTAAACGGGCCGGTATTGTGGCCATAGACCCGCTCCTACCAGAAGGAAACTCATCTCACACTGCTAAAGTCCCACAGACTCAATCCCACACTGCTGAAGTGCCGCAGACTCAATCCCACACTGCTGAAATCCTGCAAACTCGATCCCAACTGCTAGATGATAGATTCCTGATTTGTCAACATCAAAATAACACCGAATTAATAATTGGGTTCCACTACATAACTATAATTACATACTTTGAATAATTTCTACATTACCCCAAGCTTGGCTTACCCAAGCCCAAGGTCCAATCCATAGGCCCAAAGTCAGTTAGGGATGAGAGCCCAATATATGGCCCAATTTTCCAAATTAGGCCCAAACCTCTATATGGGCTTCCCTTAAGGCCCAATTGTCCAGTCCAGTCCAACATGTCCCATTTTAAGGGCCCAATATCATACAACCCTCTAGGCCCAAACTACGATCCAATTTTCTAAATTGGGCCTAATCCTTCATATGGGCCTTACCCTAAGCCCAACTAATTACTCTAGTCCATTTGATTATTCTTGGAACGCCCATTAATAAACCAATTACCAATTACCCAACTGAAAAGCCCAACTCAAGGCCCATTTGACATTAGGGTTTCACATAAAATGACAATTAGGGTTAAGTGTTTCTCACTTAACCCATTAAGGGCTTAACCTACTAAGGACTTAATCCATTAAGGACTTAATCCATTAAGTCCATTATTGGTTAGATTAATTTCTGCAAATGATTGTTATTTAATATGTCACTTATTAAATAAGTCTCGTGTGTGTCCTGATAAATTCTCAAATATTAGGATTTTCTCAATTAGTCCATTAAGGACTTGGTCCATTAATTCCTTTACTCTACTAGATAAATGGCATGGAATAGTTTGGGCTTAATTCACTATCGAATCTCAATGGCCCACAATTGGGCCCAATAAGTCTCAGGCCCAATACTTATAATTAGGGTTTTCCACCCAAACATGGCCCAATAGGCCCAAAACCAATCTCTAAGCCCATTAGGGTTTGCTAGCGGGGCACCACCCACTACCACCTCGGGTAATGGTGGTCGATGGCAAATCACGGCGGCGGCCACCACCCTACGGTGGTGGTTTGGTTCATTTTCATTATTCCGAAATCAAATTATATTTTACAAGGCTAAAATCTCAATTAACCACACACACACACACACACTAAACTAATCACACACACAACCACACCATGGCGGTCGGCGGTGGCTCGTGGCGGCAGCCACCACCTTACGGTGGTGGCGGTGGCTTTTCCATGAACCTTGGCTAAAAAAAACACACATACAATCTCCTAACAACCGGAAATAGTAATAACACATGAACACACACCCATAAATACACCCACAACCACCTCTCACGGTGGCTAGTGGCGGCGGAATAGGGCAGAAATGGTAGCCACGGCGGCGGCAGTGAGATAGCGACCGCACACACACCCCTCTCTAGATCCGGAGGAAGCCACCCACCTGGTGGCACTCATCGAATGACAGCAACGTCGCTAATGACTTACGACAGCGGCGGTGCAACAACGCGATAAGATGGCAATCGGGAAGGAAGCAGTGCTTCGGAGGGGAAGAGCAATAGTGCTACAACGGTTCTTACAACGGTTGGGGCATCGACACGACACAGTAGTCCTTCAAGATGGAAAATCGCTGACCGGAGCAATGGAAACGAGTCCTCCGGCGATGACAGCGACAATGTAACAGTAACGGCGGCAGGAAACTCGACGACGCAACGGAGGATGGTCTCGGAAGTGGGAAACACCACGGTAACCTCGACACCGGCCTCAGGCCCGTCATCAGAGTCGCATGGAGTCGCCGACGATCCTACTATAGCCTCACGGAGGCTGTTGCTGGGACGAGGGGGAATAAGGTGAGTGTTGCGGCTGCATAGGGGGGGGGGTTTGGGTTAGGGTTTGGCCGGTGGTGATGTTTTATGCCCGGTTCTTCTAAAAGTTTTCCATAATGTCAAGATCAGCCCTCCCTTTCTGTATTCCTTTCAAAATAAATCCATATTTTACACTTTTAACCCTACCTTCAGAAATCTTTACAAACTGAATCCAAAACTTACATTTTAAGCCCTGATTTTATGATTTCCTTTCATAATAAATCCTAAATTACCATTAAACCCTTGACTTTTAAAATTCTTCACCAATTTGCCCGGGACTTACCTTTATTAATTTATTTAAATAAACGGGGCGTTACAACTCTCCCCTACTTGAATTAGATTTGATCCTCGAAATTATTCCTTACCATTCCTTACACGCTAACTACTCAAGTTACATGACCACAATCCTAGGTACACCCTAGCCTTCCCGGAGCAACCAAAACTATCCCTCGCAGGGTTCTAGAACCCGAAGATGAGCGGATTTCTTGCATTACATTTACATTACTCACTCTGAAATCTATAGTCTTAAGATGGTCTGACCCTTTGATAGACCGCCCATACTGAATCATTATTGCTGAACTCAGTTTACTTATCTCTTAGCTGCCTACTCATCTCCTGATAACTCAAGGCTCACACCAGAAAACATAATCACAAATCCGCTTATCCATGTGATTCGCTTATACTTGGCCAAAATCGGATAATATTGTTGTAAGTGACTTAGCATAACCCAAGCTATATGTGCCTCTAACCGCACATAAAATCCCAAAATACCATTACTGTTGGAGACCCAAAACTGTCTGAAGCACTGATCTTCCTAAAAACACTAAACTGTCTGAACAATGAACTGCCTGAAACACTGAACTGTCTGAACAAATCCTTCTCTGAAGCTAGTTGCCATTAGTTATCTTGTCATTGTGTCCCTAGCAATCTTCTGATCTAACTGATCGATTCAAGATGTCGAATCCTGTGGTTACCAACCCACAGCTAAATGCGATTGCAGCATGACCAATTGTAGCCTTATATAACAAACAACCTTTAGCAATTCATTGCTTCCTCAGTCTTGAAACTGCAGTGGCGTCCCTACAGTCCTATCACTGGCTCAATTAGATCTAATTCATCCAGATAATTCCGAATTCCAATCCATTGATTTCCATATCTTTACTGCTACACCCTAACTGGTGGGTACTGCTGTTCCTTCCACGTCCTAACAACGCGCTCATGCTATCTACCAACCAAGTGAATGCTATGGCTACACTCGCAGACTTACAACACTTTATCACTATATGGCTGCTAGTGAATGCTACGGCTACACCCGCAGACTTACAAGACTCTGACACTATTTGACTGTTAGTGAATGCTACGGCTACACCCGCAGACTTACATCACTTTCTCACACTATCTCATTCGCTGATTGCTAAACCGAACATATCTGACATCGAGCATACACACGACCTAACATCCAAAACTGGACCCATGTCCTAACTAGAATCCCCAAACTGATTCCCTAAGGCTTGCTGGAAAACATTCCGAGAACATGATCTCATCATTGGCAAGATGTTTCGATCTTCTATCTTGTACTATCCTCAAATCATAGAACCACTTGGGCTTTCTTCCTTCGTGACAAGGACGCGAAACTTATCCCATCTTCATAACCGCTCTTGCTTCGGAATCCTTGGGTGATTCTCCCCCACTTTGATTCAGCTAATGCCCTATAGCACCGAAAACTAGAAAAATTCTTAACTCTTCCTACCCTCCCATGACAAATCTGCTAGAACTCACGCTTATCCTTGCTAGGGTTTCAACACCATCTAATCCAAAAGATCACACAACTTCTAAAAAAATCAGAATAAATCTCCGGTAATAATCCGCTAAATCGAGGAAGCTCCGAATCTCAATTGGATACCCTGGAATCTCCCACTGCATCACAACCTCTATATTGACCGGATCGACCAAAATATCCTTCTGATTGACAAGGTGCCTAAGAAATTGCACCCCGCACAACCAGAACTCACACTTAAAGAACCTAGCGAAAATTCTGTCCCTCCTCAAAGTCTCTAGCACCTCCCTCAGGTGCTTCTCGTGCTGCTCCTCAGTCTTGGAATAAACCAAGATGACATCGTACTTTCCCAATCCCGAATATGGGGAATTTCTCTATCACTATTCGCTAATGCTTTTCAGAATGCAATTGGCATATGACATCTCTTGAAAATATAATTCAGACACAAACGTAGGATAACCCAGAGTTACACTTACTCGACCCCTGGAATGAACGACTCTATCATGCAGTTTCCCGTATGTGCTGTACTGAATCTAACCCCGCTGGTCTCTCAAAAGCTGATCTAAAATCTAGGGTCTCCTCCCAAGACCCTTCGATATAAGCAACTGATTTGGTTCTCCTTTACTAATGTGCTCCAAGTCCCTATCCCATTCTCAAGCTCTAGAAGTCATATCATTTAGGGTCTTGCGCCCCGAGATACTCACGATCTCCCTGCTATCATTCTACAGTATGTTTTGATAACTTACCTTCTTCATTTCCTCATCCGATGCATACTATGGTACCATATAAGCTCTTTCCCGAGACTTGCAAGTGATCTCTGCCACAACATCAGTTGTCTGGTGGAGATCTAACAACTCTTGCGCCAACTGCTGCACCTCAATCTCCTGGGCACACTCTGCCCAGAACCTGGTCTAAAAGTCATCCCATGACATATCCTCAATTGCTTCATCACTCGACTCACTACCAACTTCTTCCTATCAATCTCATGATCTATCCCTCAGGAGACAAGAAGTAAGTCAGATCTTGTCTCCTTTCGAGACAATGTCTGGTATGAAATGTGTTGGCGACATCTGCCAACCATCTGCTGCTAATAATGGGGTCCTTAACCCCCTGACAATCTGAAGCTTCATAAACTCTGAATTCCCGAAACATCAATGTACGGGTCCCTATCACGACTACTATCTCAGTGCATAATGTACTCGGCCTCTCATCACAATCTCTATAATGCCCTCCTTGATCATACTGAGGATCACAGGAGTATGATTAATGATACTGCACGTAACCTCAGATGGAACGAACTCCCTCATTTGATCATCGAGCTGCCCGACTATCGAGTCCGAGCCTGATCCCTCGTCGACACCAGAACTACCATCTAGTCTACCACGTAGCGTCACTATACTCGACAATATACCATCACTAACATCACAATACTCACCAAAACTTGAGGGATCTCACACACTACAAGTTCCCTGGTCTTATCTCAGCCCTCCTTGATTCGAGTATGGATCCTATGCTTTCAGTAGTATGGGCCCATACTACCTTCCACATCTATCCGTACTTTTCTCAAGAACTGCCTTGACTCCACCAAGTCCTTTCTACTACTACTGAGTAATGTTGCTCTCATCCTAGGCTCGCCCTAGGGAAACCTCTGACTCACCCAAAACCAATCCTCAGCTGCTGAAGGCCTCTTTGTAATGCCAATTAGCCATTACCTGAATACAATGACATGCAACAAGGCTCGGATAATCCTTCGAGTAAGGGAATCATCCCTACAACGGTTAAGACTCAAACGAGAGCTGCGAAATAGGGTTAAATCCAATCCTCTAAGATTATTCAACCCTGATCGCATGTGACTTTAATGTATTCACCTAATAGTGAACTACCACCACTCAAAGTCCCACAAAGCACAAAGCAAGCAACATTCAGACAAGGAAAATACTCAAGCAAATCTATTCTCATAATAAGAAACTGTACTAGCATACAACGATAAGCTCATACTATCAGGCATAACCTAAAATGGCTATCCTACTACTGTTTACTCAATACTAGCATGCGCTTCTCATAAAGCTGAAGCACATAAAGAAGGCACATAAGGCATCCTCCCTAGATCCTTAGTTGTAACACCTGTGTTTCTGGGCTTGCCATTTTTAGCAATGTGATAGTCTAGGTTAACTTTTGTAACCCGTTTTGAAATAACAGAAGTGTATTATTTGAGTATTATGTGTTTTGTGCTTAATTGCTTAATTATGTGGTTTGATTAATTAAGGATAAAAATAAGCGTCAAAATTTAAGTGTAAAATAAACTCGATATCTTTAGATAATGTTGTAGTAGTTGAAACATGGTTTCTGAAGATATAAAGAATGCCGAAATCCGAGTTATAACGAGGAAGTTTTGACCTGTCGAAGTTTCGAGACAGAGCAGGCACCGCTAAATGACGTAAAAAGTGAAATTTACGTTAGAGCGATATTTAGCCTTAGTGATCTAAACGAGAATCGAAGATCTCGTTGTTAGTATCAAAGCGATAAAAAGTTAGGCGAGAATGGACGTCAAATGAAGAAGTTATGAATTTATAACAAAATTTTCTGTGCCGGCCTATTAAAAATAAATAATAAAAATAAAGTCAAAATTAGCCAATGGAGTCTAAACAAAAGTTGTAGAGCGTAGTCTCACCTTCGTGTGGATATAAAGAACGTCGAAAACGGCGTTCGTATGAAGGAGATATGAATTTTTGAAGTTTATTAAATAAATAATAATTAAATTTAATTATAAAATCTGGCCTTATCCGAAGACGAGTCACCGGACTCATCCGGAGTACGCCCTGCGTACAGCAAGAAGTGTCGACACTTTGGATGACGCATGCAGTGACGACTTCGGAGCCCTGTACGCCCCGCGTACTTCGAGGCTCCAGCCTCCTATAAATAGGATGCGAGGGTTCCGGGTTTATTTGCTAATTTCCTCTCGTTTTTGTGCCGAAGCTCTACGCGTAAACCCCCGAAGCCACCCCGAAGACCCGGTAATATTCCCGAGTCCCGAAGCAAGTCCCGAGATCCCGAAGATCCCAAGAAGTGCGGTTTCCGAGCCGAAGCTCTGCCCGCGAGAAGTTCGATTTTTGTAGAGATCTTCCAAATCTGCTGAGGATTACTACTTCTACGAGCTGTAGTGTTGTCCGATCATCTTTTGATCAAGTGAGTGTATACTACCTTTCATAAACGCAATAATAATACAAGTATGGTTTGAGTGTATTAAGTTTATTTTCGTTTATACTTGTGAGTGTGTAGTTACTTTCTTCTAACGCATAATTATGAAGTATTTTATACAAAATACGTGTTATGTGTATAATTTTGTTGTTATGTGCGTGAATGTATATTCACTCTCTTTAATCTCATAGATCTGATTTGTTTTCTATGAAATACGTGTTATGTGGGTATGCCTCATCTGTTATGTGGAATATATATTGAATGAAAATGATATACAGGTTTTAAACTATGTATAAAAATGTATATTTTTATCTACTAATATGTTGGGTAGAACATGGGTAGATAGTTGGTGTGTAATAAACAGATGAGAGGCCTCGATGTTGTTGTTGTTGTTGACCTAGTTATTCAGCGGAGTATGGATAACGACCACAGACTCCTTCTAGACAGTCTCGTGGAACGCTAGCAGGTTCATAACCTGTAGGTGTTGTGAACGATGTGTTCACCGGTGTACTCTATCCCCCTCATGGTTGCCTTTAGGATATCTATTGTTGAGGAAACCCCTTAGCAGTAATGTCCGTCCCGATGAAAATCCTAGATTAGGTCCCTTGAGATAGATGTTGTTTTAGGGACGTAAAGTGAGGATAACGGGAATGGGTAATCGGGATAGTGATTGGTTGGTGAAATTAAATATAATTTATTTATTGTGGGTTGAAAACCCTATATGCTCACCAGGCTCCCAAGCCTGACCCACTCAGTTTTATTTGTATTACAGGAAGTGGCGCAAGGGCGTAAGATGGACGAACCATCAAGTTGTTTTGTTTACAAGTCTGTATATGTATATATTTGTTGAATGACTTGTAATGTTATTGTTTATGCTTAATGGTCTGTATCGGAACATGACACCCGAGTTTTAATTATATAATGAAAATGCATCTCTTGATGAAATGCTTTGATAAATATTATTTTATCATGTTTTGTTTTGGGAACAAATTCCGCAACACTTTTAAATCAAAAGGATTTACTCTGAG